CATAATTGTCATATATTTTGAACATCCTATTGCCTGTGTCATTTGTCTAATGCTCCAAGATTTGGGAAGAATAGTAAGCAGATGTAACTGCTCATTATAATTGATCAACGCACTGTATTTTTCTCTCAATTCGGGTGGCACTTCTTCGCAGAAATAATCATGGTCATCATCAGAAACGTTGTCCATTAATTTTCGTTTCCCCGTTGTTTGTATCGAATGTAATTTTTGTTTTGTAGAAATACGAGACGACAAATGAATGGAATTGATTGGCGACTGATTTAAAACGTTTAACATTTCATTCAGTGTTTCAATCATTATTGTTTTTTCAACGCTCTTTGCCACATCGTTATCCGCACTTTCATCGGAGTCACTATTATTATAATTTAAAATTTCCACTGGCGTAGTTGAAGGTCCAGGTACTGGTTCCTCCACAATGTTCTCACTTTCGTAATCATGTTCACGACTATACTTCAATCGATAATCATTACAAATAAACTCTCCAACCTGGAAAATGGGACACTTGTTCTTTAATGTTTCTGTGATACGTCTGGTATCCTTGCAATACGTGTAATGATTTGGAATCGCAAAAGGATTACAACATCTTGTTCGCGCCATTCTTGATTTTTACGAAGTCTTTTACGAAACGTTGACTTCACGATTGAACTACGAGAATACGGCAGAACAAATAAGTCGATACGCTGGCTTCGATTATTGAAAGAGTAGGTCACAAGACGATTGAACTTTGAGTTTTTACGAAACGATTTCTTTGACGATCGAACGACAAGTGATCGATGTTTCCGGAGTCATTGGAATGCGACGTAGACGCTTGCTCTCGTTGCTGGCGATATGACCCTCTCAATTGTTCGACAAGCGTTTTCAGAAATCGCAAATGTCTCAGTGGCTTTTCCCCTCTTTTGGTTTGTTCTTGTTTATACAAAAGGTATGAATTGACCAGGGAAATTTCCATGCTCCCAAAGAAAAAGCTTACGCCCCCATTTAAGCGATTTTCGCAGAAAACAGTGGGTTGATGCATACTGGTCCGCCCGGTCAACACCACCCATATATTTTATATAGTTCAATACAATATTGGGTTTCTTGACCATTATATCCACACCACCTCGTGTAATTCTTTTGACCGTCGTCATTCCTGTGTCACCCCTCGTAGTCAAACAAGTGACAACCCTCTTATCTTTCCACCCTAAAACTAAGGTGTTGCCCCGTCGATACGCAACCGTGGATTTTGTCGAAAATTTTGGCCTTTTTATTTCCTTGGGCAATTCTTTTCTGTTCGTTAAAATTGTTCCGGTAAGACTGCATTTCAATTTGGCTAGTTCTTGAGCTAAGACGTAACTAGTATAGTAGCGGTCCGTGTACATATGGTGCCCCTGAGCAACTGGAATTTTCTCCAACAACATTTGGTATAGGTGTATTGGTATTCTTGATGAAACTGGTAAATCGGGTCTGATTAGAAGCTCTGTTTAAATATCGCGTTAATTCGACGTGAAAGAATAGTAGAATATTATTCGTCACCCGGTATTGTTTTTCTGCTTATGTAACATACTCGAGAATGTTCGGCGCTCATGTCCGCTACGCGTAAACAAGACCGGATACAAAAACGGTCACATACGGATTTCTTCGAAACATCACGCGATCGACCAAACTACGCAGAATTTCAAGCTAACGTTTCGAAACGCGTATGATAGAAAAGGAAAGACAATCGAGAGATAGACAAAGACAAACTCAAATTCGGCTACAGCGCCGCCAGTCGGAAATCGCTCTTCGAATTTGACTCTCCTTGTTAAGCGAATGACTCTTGATTTGGAAACGGCCGAGAGCAGATGGGCATACGATCCCGCTCCTCCGTATACACCAAATAGAACTGATAGTGTAGAGATTGTCGTTCTTTCGAGCCAGTTAAGAACGTGGTGAAGAAGGTGCAGTGCGAGAACGGATTGGGGTCCGATCCGGTAACGCAAATACTTCCGCTACACGTTTTAACTGGAGTGAAAAAGAGTCGGAAACGCAAAGAAGTGCAGTACCTAAACGGATTGGGATACCATCCGGTACCAACGACACTTCCGTTTCTAACGAGGAATCTCGTGGGTTATTTCCGAACGTTTCTAGAGCAGCAGTGGTAAAAACCACCTAAGACTGAGGAAACAGGATACGTATCGTTGGACCGATCGGTCGTATCCGAAGGTTATAGTTTGACCTACGAACCTCCCTTGACTGTCGAACGGTTAAAACCCCACCTAGACGGACCACGTGGTATTCCGTGGGTGGACTTGCCGCCCTCCAGTCGGTGCTAGGAATTTAAATCACGTGTCCAGCATCAGGCGACCTGCTGAAGCGGTATTTCGAAAATACGCCAACGTGTGCGTGGAATACCGCTCAAGAGCAACAGTGGGAAACGTACGCTAACCGTAAGTCGTTGTGAACGCAGACAAGGTACATTCCCACACCGTACAAGGACGGATTACGAGGACGGTAAGAAACCGAGGATTCGACAACATTTGGAGCCTTACAACCTCCATCTGTTGCCCTTTCCTACGACGGTCGAGATAACGCAGTATAGGAAGAATCGAGGTATAATCTCGTCTTCCTTAGAACTGCAATCAGCTGTTTCCCGGTTTAAAGGGAACGCACACATAATAAATACAGTCCACCTGTTTCGCCGCGTAACGCAGCGGCAGAGAATCCCCGCTCCTGAGTGCGACAAGCACAGCTAGGAGCGCGAGAACTTCAGAACGAGACGGAAAACGTGACTAACGTTACCGTGTATTTACACCAAGTTCCGTCCTTTTTGTTACAGAGAAGAGTGACGCCAGCCGACGACTCGTCCACCAAGAGGCGGATTAACGCGCCAGAGGACGAGCCAATTGATTTTTAATTTTTATTTTTCAAGTGTGAAAAGCGGCAAACGGCCAAAGGTTCTGTTTATTTCTGTTGATTTTTCGTTCTGATTTTATTTTATTTTGATTATTACAAGTTTTTATACGTTTCGTTTGTTTTGTTTCATTCTTTTTTTCAAATAAACGGCGTCGTCGAAGATCGACGACGCGAAAATACAATTAGAAAACAAACGATTTACTTTTCCTACGTCCTACTCCTTCGTAATCCGGACACCCGTTAGACGAGGTTCTCAAATTAATATTTGAGCCCTCCATATTCTAACAAAAGGTCCTTCGAGCCGGATACGAAACGAAGTTGAGTGGACCAGGAAAAGGTGCAAGTTCTTACACGTGAGGGATACCCACGTAAGAAATCATTTCGAGCGGTTTAATCCTCGAAAATACGCAGCATGGCCGTATCACAGCAATCCCTTGAAATCGATCTCGATGACGAAATCGAAGACGTGATCGATCTATGTGGTCAGCTGAAGCGGCTAGCATCTAACCTAAGAAAATTAGGACGAGCGAAATTCTCAGAGCGACTGCTTGAGGAAAAGCTCGAGCACGGCAAGGAAACCTGGCGCGAAATACGCACCAGGTATGCAAGCGTGCGTAAACAAATTCCTCCAGCAGAAAGAGTGTCGCACGACCTCTTTAAGCTGAATTACATGAGGAGTGCTGAAGACGACTTCCAGGATTTCCAGGATTTCGTTCTTACTGAACTTGGCCGACTGAGCGCTGAGGTGAAACCAGCAGCGTCGGAAGTTCAAAGTAATATACCGATCGAGCTCCCGAAGCAACGACTGCCAAGATTCGGAGGGGATCCTCAGGAATGGGAACATTTCGAGGATCTGTTCACCTCCGGGGTCATACGAAATGCAGCGCTGTCGGATGTGCAAAGATTGCACTATCTGAATGCCTGCGTAGAGGGACCCGCACAGGCGTGTATTGCTTCGATCGAAATCGTCGGTCGAAATTTCTCCGTGGGGTGGACGAAGCTAAAGAACACCTTCGGTCTCCCACGCTTGGTCACGGGAAAACTGCTGGACAAGCTCCTGTTTACGAAACCAATAGATACCGGTGACCTGGCTAGTATGCAGCAGGTCACCGAGGGTTGCACACAGGCGCTCGCCGCCCTTGATAAAAAGGGCACGCCCGAACAGCAGCGGGACTGGTTACTCGCGCATTGGGCGAAGCAAAAATTCTCGCCGGCGCTAGAGTTGGAATGGCAGAAAACGTTGAACCTCGCAACAGAGTATCCCACGTTTGAGGACGTGCGGAGGTTCCTTGAAATGCACTCCCGCGCACTGCTCTCCATGGATGAGAAGCGACGGGGGGGCGGCCATCGCATCTGCCACACATGATAACGCACGTAGTCGAAGCTCGACTCGGGAATCGAGATCGGCCTTGAGACACGTGCGCAGCCACAATGTTGTCAAGGACAACCTTTGGGCGGGACCGCCTCGTGGCAAAAGTATCGAAAACAGACCAGCAGGGGCCACGTCAAGGACACCGTGCGCAGTCTGTACCGGACCGCACCACGTGACGACGTACGAAAACCTCTTGCAAATGACTCCAAGCAAGCGCAGTCTATATGTAAGAAATCGTGGGTGGTGCTTACAGTGCCTGGGCGCTAACCACCACGCAAAAGACTGCAGACGCCCCATCGTCTGTACAAAGTGCAACGGGAGGCACCATCCCCTGCTGCACGTCGACGTAAGCCGGGAACCTCGAAACCAGCCGTTACCGAGAAAAGAGTACGACCATGGGGAGGGAACGAGCGAAAAAGCCCCGGCTCGTCGGTCTGTAAATTTCAGATCGAAATCCAGAACCTCGCGCAACACGAACACAACACAAGCCGCAACGTCACATTGTACGACGTTCGGTACAGGTGTACCGAGGCCCGTGTTGTTAGCCACGGCTCGAGTGCGAGTGTTCGGAAAATACGGTGCGTCGCGAATCGTGCGCGCACTGCTAGATCAAGGTTCAGAAACGTCCTTCATTTCTGCGAGTTTGGTGAATGACCTCCAACTCGCTCGAAGGAAAACTCCAGCCACGGTCACGGGTTTGGGAGGAGATCGAACCCAAACGATCAAGTACAGTGTCGGGATGAATCTGTGTGCGAGAGAAGGTAGAAAACCGACCTGCATGGTCGACGCGTACGTCGTGCCGCGAATCACGACCTACGCACCAGAGTCCTTGGAAACGCTCGGATACGAAGCGTTCCAGGACCTACCTCTCGCCGACCCCGACCTCACGACCGATCAAACTATTGAAGTTCTGATCGGGGCTGACTTATACGCACAAATTATGCGACCGGGATTCCGTCGCATAAACGCGGAGGGTCCGATAGCCCAAGAAACTGCGTTCGGCTGGGTAATTTCCGGGCCGACAAGTGCAGTAGGGAAAAGCCAGAATCCAGTACGGACGCTACATTGCACCGTGCTCGAATCGCTGGATCAAGCGATTCGAAAATTCTGGGAAATGGAGGAAATTCCCGCGACCTCTGTGCGTACAAAGTCAGAGGAAGAATGCGAAGCATTCTATAAGAAAACCGTCGTCCGAGACGAAACTGGGAGGTTTCAAGTGCGACTCCCATTTAATTGCCCGAAACCGGAGGAAACGATCGGAAAGTCGTTCCACATAGCGTTTTCGGCTCTCGCAAGGTTGCGAAAGAAATTAGACACGAGCCCGACTCTCGGTAAAGAATACTCGGAGTTTTTAAACGAGTATGAGTCGCAAGGTCACATGACTCGTATCGAGCCTATTGACCGTTCTAGACTCTATATACCACACAGAGCGGTCGTCCGTACGGACAGTACGACCACCAAGTTACGGGTCGTGTTCAACGCAACCTGTAGGACGGCGGGAGGTCGCTCCCTAAACGACATCCTACACGTCGGTCCAAAATTGCAAAACGATATCACCTCGGTATTAACGAGGTGGCGTTTGTATAAATACGTGCTGGTGGCCGACATTGAGAAAATGTTTCGACAAATTCTCGTAGCACCACAGGATCGTCGATTCCAATGCATCGTTTGGAGTGCACCCGAAACCGAACAGCTAAAAGCGTTCGAGTTAAATACCGTTACATACGGAACAGCGTGCGCTCCGTACTTATCGATGCGTAACCTTCTCGAATTAAAAGAGCAGGATGGAGGAAAATTCCCCTTGGCTGCTCCGATTCTCGAGAAGGGCATTTGCGTCGATGACGTATTTTTGGGAGCACCAGACAAGCCCTTGCTGGAGAAAATCCGCACACAAGTGTGCGAGCTCCTGCAAGGAGGTGGGTTTAAGTTGAGAAAATGGGCAGGAAACTCGCAGCAACTATTGCGAAATATCCCCCACAGCGCTCACTCCCACGCCGTAGACCTCACCTTGTTCGAGGATTCCGAACTGAAAGTGCTCGGTCTACGCTGGATACCGTCTGGGGATTATTTTTATTTCAATCTCCAACAATTTCAACCATCGGCGTTCCCGATGACTAAGAGAAATCTGTTTTCGGAGATTGCCAAGCTGTTCGATCCGCTCGGCTGGTTATCACCAGTAGTAATACGTGCGAAAATTTTGATGCAGTCCCAGTGGCTGGAGAAAATCCAGTGGGACGATCAAATCTCCGCGGACACGCAACGAACGTGGAATACGTTTTGCGTGGATTGGAACAGCCTGAAAAAATTAAAAATTCCCAGATGGATACGGTACGGAGCCGATACCGTATCCGTGGAGTTGCATGGATTCTGCGACGCCTCCCTCGCCGCCTACTCCGCCGTCACGTATTTACGCGTGACGACGACAAACAATGACGTCTTTACGACATTGGTAATGGCAAAAACGCGGGTGGCGCCGATCAAAACGCAATCCATACCCGTACTGGAATTAAACGGGGCAGTACTCCTCTCCGAGCTTGTGATGCACGTAAAGCGGTCCATCTCCATGAAATTGGATCGCATAATCTGCTGGACAGATTCTACGATTGCACTAGCTTGGCTGAAAAAACATGCGTCGACATGGAAGGTGGTAATCGCCAACCGTGTATCAAAAATCCAGACGATGCTTCCGAACGCCGAATGGCGTCATGTTCCCACGCGCTCAAATCCCGCAGATTTAAATTCGCGAGGAGTGGAAGCCGCGGAACTTCTTCAATCGGAACTATGGATTTCCGGCCCGCCGTGGCTTCGGCGGGCGGAAGAATATTGGCCGAAAATACCCGCTTCGATCGAAACGGAAGAAGGAAAACGCGTCTCGCATACGCTCGTAGCAACTCCGAAAAAAGAATGGGACTTTGTATTTCGATTTTCCCAATGGAGAAAGCTACTACGCGTAACCGCCTACTGCCTCCGGTTTCGAAGGGCGCGGGACGGAGAGCGTCGGTCCTTCGACGCCAACGTTGTCGACGCATCTGAAATACAGCGTGCAACGGAAAGAATTGCACGTTACTTGCAAAGCACGCATTTTGCAGATGAATACCAGTGCCTGAAAGGGCACCGTGAAATCCCTGCAACGTCTCCATTGAAAGGCCTAAACCCCTTCCTCGACGACAAGGAAGTCCTCAGAGTGGGTGGAAGGTTGGAGAATGCGGCACTTGCATGGGAAACCAAACACCCGATAATTCTGCCAAAACATCATGTTTCGAACATGATAATAAGGCAATGTCATGCGGATACGCTGCACGGGGGTTTGCAATTGACCATGTACACGGTGAGACAGAAATTCTGGATCATCGGCTGTCGTAACGCGACGCGTACGGTTATCCATGGTTGCATGCGCTGCGTGAGATGGAATGCAACAGCGTCCACGCAGATAATGCAGGATTTAATTCCGGAACGCACCCGCGCGGCACGACCTTTCTCGAATTGCGGAGTAGATTACGCGGGACCCTTTCGAGTCCGCGACTCCGCCGGTCGAGGTAAAACGGCCCACAAAGCTTACATAGCGGTATTCGTTTGTTTCGCTACCAGAGCCGTACATATCGAACTCGTGCACGATTACACAACGAGTGCTTTCTTGGCCGCCCTTGACCGATTCATCGCTCGCCGCGGAGTTCCGTCCTGCGTGTTCAGTGACAACGGAACAAATTTCGTCGGAGCGGATCGAGAATTAAGAGAGCATTTCAATATCGTGTATAACACACGAGAAATGCGCGATACGTGCGGCCAGAAGGGTATTAAGTGGAAATTCAATCCACCTAGTGCACCGCATTTTAGCGGTATGCAGGAAGCCGGTGTGAAATCGGTGAAACATCATCTAAAACGCATCCTCGGCAACTTCACTCCCACGAGCGAGGAGATGCAGACATTACTTTGCAAAATCGAAGCGAGTTTAAATTCGCGACCGATCGCCGCTCTGAGTGATTGTCCAGAGGATTATGCGCCCCTCACACCGGGCCACTTTTTGATCGGAAGCCCGATGAATGCACTTCCGGTAGAGTCAGTGGAAAATGAAAATATCTCGCGGCTTACGCGATGGAGAGCTATTCAGAAATTCCACGAGCAACTCTGGAGGCATTGGACGCGTGATTATCTCACGCACCTCCAGAACCGCTATAAGTGGCGTACCGCTCAAGTGCAGCTAAAACCGAACGATTTGGTTCTAGTGCAAAACCCTCTTCTCCCCCCGAATCAATGGGAAATGGGAAGAATTGAGGAAATTTTCCCGGGCAAGGACAGGCACGTACGGGTTGTTAAAGTACGCACAGCCACTTCCACCTACACACGACCAATCACACGTCTGTGTAAATTGCCCATAGAAGAGTCGCTATCGATAACAGACGAAGACGACGCTAGCGGGACAAAAGAAATCCCGAATTCCACGTGAGAAAGAGACAGGAAGTGAGAACCGCCGTTGGTAACAACAACAGGTGTGGATCACCATGTGTCCTGTGTCTCGGTGACAAAACGGGGATAGGGGAATCTCTTCCCTACTATCCCGTTAACAGTTAAGGAAGGGAGCAATTCGCGAGCGTCCTAGGTTTTAAAAGCAGGACCGTTAGGCCGAATTCCTTCAGTTCCAAGTCACACGCGGAATAAGAAACCAAGTCATCAGATAGCGAGTCAAAAAAAAAAAAAGTAAAAATACAAAATGTCGTCAACTAGTTCGGACGAAAGTGCCCAGACGGTCGTGGGGTCGGCGAGCGACCCCGCGATCGACCAACAGTTCGAACGGCTGTTACAGCTGGGCCGATACGCTCGGCCACCCACGGTCGCCCCGGAAGCGGAGGTAGCCCCGACGGCCGACATACCACCCACGCCAGCTGAGACTCCTGGGCCGTCCCAGGAGTTTATAATTAATTTGGGGCAGGACGTCCTCCGCGTACCGGCCCACGTGCCTTGGACGTCGAGGCGGTGTAAATGCAAGGTGCCCGGAGGTCACTTCCGACTGAAGTGGGCAAGAGGAGGACGCCTCATTTTCTGCGTTTACCGCGCGGAAGCCAACCCGCCAACGCCAAGACCCGCGGCCACCTCACCGCAACCGGGCAGCAGCAGGACAACGCCCGGAACCTCTAGGGGTGAAAGCCCTAGAGGATATCGCGGACGCCATCAGGAGGAGGGGGATCGCCGGGCCCGAGACCGGCAAGCCATGTCGCGGAGGCAAGGGGGGCAGCGGCTAGCCGGGCGAACGCCAGCAGGCCGTAGTAGGGTTGATGCGACGGCTATCCATTAGGGCGGTCATGACCACCCTCCAAATTATGGAGGGCAGACGAGCCCTCGCACGCCGATAATGTAAGTACTTTAATTTTGTTAATTGAGTACACGGAAAATTTTTCTCTGGTCGATCGACACGTGACCGCGAATTACCGCGCCTCCGTTTAATTGCACGGACCGTGCAAGGGGGGCGGTATGTTTAAATATCGCGTTAATTCGACGTGCAAGAATAGTAGAATATTATTCGTCACCCGGTATTGTTTTTCTGCGTATGTAACATACTCGAGAATGTTCGGCGCTCATGTCCGCTACGCGTAAACAAGACCGGATACAAAAACGGTCACATACGGATTTCTTCGAAACATCACGCGATCGACCAAACTACGCAGAATTTCAAGCTAACGTTTCGAAACGCGTAAGATAGAAAAGGAAAGACAATCGAAAGATAGACAAGGACAAACTCAAATTCGGCTACAGCGCCGCCAGTCGGAAATCGCTCTCCGAATTTGACTCTCCATGTTAAGCGAATCACTCTTGATTTGAAAACGGCAGAGAGCAGATGGGTATACGATCCCGCTCCTCCGTACATATCATATAGAACGAATTGTGTAGAGCTTGTCGTTCTTTCGAGCCAGTTAAGAACGTGGTGAAGAAGGTGCAGTGCGAGAGCGGATTGGGGTCCGATCCGGTAACGCAAATACTTCCGCTACACGTTTTAACTGGAGTGAAAAAGAGTCGGAAACGCAAAGAAGTGCAGTACCTAAACGGATTGGGATACCATCCGGTACCAACGACACTTCCGTTTCTAACGAGGAATCTCGTGGGTTATTTCCTAACGTTTCTAGTGCAGCAGTGGTAAAAACCACCTAAGACTGAGGAAAAAGGATACGTATCGTTGGACCGATCGGTCGTATCCGAAGTTTCGAGTTTGACCTACGAACCTCCCTTGACTGTCGAACGGTTAAAACCCCACCTAGACGGACCACGTGGTATTCCGTGGGTGGACTTGCCGCCCTCCAGTCGGTGCTAGGAATTTAAATCACGTGTCCAGCATCAGGCGACCTGCTGAAGCGGTATTTCGAAAATACGCCAACGTGTGCGTGGAATACCGCTCAAGAGCAACAGTGGGAAACGTACGCTAACCGTAAGTCGTTGTGAACGCAGACAAGGTACAGTCCCACACCGTACACGGACGGATTACGAGGACGGTAAGAAACCGAGGATTCGACAACATTTGGAGCCTTACAACCTCCATCTGTTGCCCTTTCCTACGACGGTCGAGATAACGCAGTATAGGAAGAATCGAGGTATAATCTCGTCTTCCTTAGAACTGCAATCAGCTGTTTCCCGGTTTAAAGGGAACGCACACATAAATAAATACAGTCCACCTGTTTCGCCGCGTAACGCAGCGGCAGAGAATCCCCGCTCCTGAGTGCGACAAGCACAGCTAGGAGCGCGAGAACTTCAGAACGAGACGGAAAACGTGACTAACGTTACCGTGTATTTACACCAAGTTCCGTCCTTTTTTGTTACAGATAAGAGTGACGCCAGCCGAAGACTCGTCGAGCGAGAGGCGGATTACCTCGCCAGACGACGAGACGATTAATTTTCAATTGATTAAAAGCGGCAAATGGCCAAAAATTCGGTTTTCTTTCTGTTGATTTTTGTTCTGAATTTTTTATTTTTCTTTGGATTATTACAAGTTTTTATACGTTTCGTTTGTTTTGTTTCATTCTTTTTTTCCAATAAACGGCGTCGTCGAAGATCGACGACGCGAAAATACAATTAGAAAACAAACGATTTACTTTTCCTACGTCCTACTCCTTCGTAATCCGGACACCCGTTAGACGAGGTTCTCAAATTAATATTTGAGCCCTCCATATTCTAACAAGCTCTGTGGTGAGTGATCCATAGTATGGAAAAATGCAGCAAATATAGCCAGTCTTTGAGTCAGCTAGAGTATAAACTTTGATACCCCACTTTGTCGGTTTCTTCGGATTGTATGTGATGAACGAAATTCGACCCTTGAATTTTATATTTGACTCGTCCACACATATGTGCTCGCCCGGGATAAAATAATCCGAAACTTTGAGTTGAGATATTCCAAAAAGCAGCTTACGCGTTGTAGGCGCGTTCGTGGATTGGTGGTGCGTGTTGGAATAGTTTCCAGATGAAGCATCCAAAATATTTGACTAAATCTGTCCTCTGGTAAATGTATCCGAATAGAAAGGAATACGACTGACGACATTTTTCGACCAATATTCTTGCAAATTGGCCAACGGCATTGTCCCCATATTGATAACGACAGCAAGAAATGCCCAGAACTCTTCGTTGGTGACATCACGCCAGCTTCGCCATATCGAGTTGCAGACAGCGTCTTCCCTTCCAATTTTCTTTTTGCATACTTATTGGTTTCACGAATAATTTTTTCGCGAGCTCATTAGTGAAAAACTGTTTAAAAAAATCTATTGGTTGTTGCACGTTAGAAACTATTCGTGGTACTGTGGGGTTTTGGCCAAGTATAAATTGTATGTTTGGCAGCACTTCGTCGTAGTCTCCGCAAAGTACCCATGTTGAACTGGTTGCACCTTCCACAGCTTCACTTTCAACTTCTCTTTCAACATCACTCTCAACTTCACTGTAGCTCTCTATAATTCCAATTTTTCGCCGTCTCACGCCTCTTACTGCATCACTGTCTTCTCCACTGGATTCGTTCCTTTCGCGGCATAATCCGCCGAAAGTCAATGTATGTTCATCATCCAAAGCGGTTAAAATCGAATTCGTCCGAACTCGAGCTAATCTGATCTTTCTCCATATTTTAGGGCTCAAATATTTTTAGTTACTATATGACTGTTTCAAGTGAATGCTACGTTGAGATTAACTGAACTGAGCTAAGATTTGGCTACAATGTCAGCCGAGCCTAGTCCACGAAAGTACTTCAGAGAAAAATATCTTATCGCACATCGTAAATAAAGAGATCGAGTTACAAAAGACTATAGTGCCGTAGCAGCGTCGCTCGATTTAAGACTTCAAATCACTCGGGCGCTGCAGCAGCGCTGCTCGAGTTTCACACTTGAAATCGGCCGGGGCGCCGCTCGAGTGCAAAGGGCTAATCTCAAGGGGCTAGGCACGGCACGTGACCTCAGCGATTCGGCAGGTCAGTATTACAGCAGATATTCTCTGCACAGAAATGGTAATACATCAGATACGCTGCTGCCTGAAGAAACCAGAGGGAGCTGCTTGCTATTGCCATGTAGGGCAATAGCCTAATGTATGTGCTGTCGTACGAAGAGTATACTCGTTTGAAATATGTACTCAGGATGTTGTCCAAGATGGACACAAAACGGAGACTTTTATTGTAACCAAAGCTGCGCACACGTCCGTCTCTGACGAGAGGCGGAGAAGCCAGAGAGCTGGTGCTTCTCTCTTGTTTCGAGCGCCGCCTTCCGCGGCAGCGCTGCCAACTTCAAGGCGTCCGCTCGCCCTAGGCGCGACCCTAGGGGAAATGGCGACGCCGGTGCCACATTCCCTACAATCAACGTCGATATTCTGATACCCTCTCTATCGACAGTGAGTTCCGCAAATATATGTATACGTGCTAATTTCTTACGCTAATTGTAACATTTTTATTACTGTATCGTGTTTCATTTTCGATAGCGCTTTTGTGAATATGTCTGCGAGCATCGATTCGGTTTTTATATAAATAACTTTTATTTCGCCCTTTTCAAGTAATTCTCACGTATAGTGATATTTGATGTCTATATAAACTAAAATACTTAAAATTTCAATAATGATTAATCGATTCCTTTCCCCGAACCAATCCTCCGCACGGCGGTATCATGTGTGTTAGAATAAAAGTAGAGTCTTTAACTTGCGTCCAAACCGTGGGTAATCGAGCGTCGAAGCCCGGCTGGAAGAAGAATAGTAAATCGCCGTGCCTGTAAATTCAAAATGCCAAAGAAGACCCGCTGTTCCGGTCGTCGGCAATAAGTCCGCCGATGCGCGCTACTTTTGAACCAGCAGGCGCCCGCAGACACGCGTACGCGGAGTTCAGACTCCGCCAATCGAGAACGAGACATCAGCAGTGTTGCGTATTTTAGCGGGGAATTTAAGATAAGAACGCGGGTTGGTGCCCGTGGAGCGCAGAACCGCTCTGCTTGTCGGAGCGTGGGA